GACAAACATCTCCCCACACACATAACCAGGGGGTACACCGAGGCCCCAGACAAACATCTCCCCACACACATAACCAGGGGGTACACCGAGGCCCCTGCTCGCTTCCTTTTGTCTCCTTACTTTTTACAGAACAGAGTCACGTAATTCCTCTTGACTCTCCTCCACCGGTTAAGTCACGTTAAACACAACCCAGTCAGACAACATTCCCTCTCCACAACAGCTGTGTAACCATGTGTAAAACATGCAGCCTGGGACTCATTCAAGATTCCCATTGGTTATTCTCAGATAGTGTCAGACTGCTAATTCTGTAAGTAATGCTACAATAAACTCCGCACATAGATCCTTACATTTCGATATTTACTACTAGGATGAAATCGCAAAAGTGAGCTTAATGACTATATATATAAAATATTAAATATATACACTATATAAAACATATTTAAGGGGATGTAGCTCAGCGGTAGAACGCATATTTCGCATTTATAAGCCGGGCGATGGTGGCGCACACCTTTAATCCCAGCACTCGGGAGGCAGAGCCAGGCGGATCTCTGTGAGTTCGAGGCCAGCCTGGGCTACCAAGTGAGTCCCAGGAAAGGCGCAAAGCTACACAGAGAAACCCTTTTTGGAAAAAAAAAAAAAAAAAAAAAAAAAAAAACCATATATAAGTATTTGTGTGTGTATAGTTCTGTGGGTTTTATTATTTTATGTGTACAAGTGTTTTGCCTGCATGTACGTCTGTGTACTATATGTATGTCTGGTGCCCATGGAGGGCAGGAAAGACTTTCAGATCTTGGTAACTAGAGGTACAGATGGCTATAAGCCACCATGTGGGTACTGGGAATCAAACCCAGGTTTCTAAGTATACCTACACAGATGTAGCATACTCTTACATACTCTTAGAGGCCAGAAGAGGGGACTACATCCTTTGGAACTGGAGTTACAGGAGATTGTGAGTCTCACAAACTCAGGTACTCTGGAAGAGAGACAAGTGTTCTTAACTGCTGAGCCACTTCTCACCAGTTAATTTTTTGAAACGGGGTCTCACTCTTCAGCCCATACAGGCCTTAAACTCAAGTTCAGCCTCAGTTTCAACCTCCCCAAGTGCTAGACACATATATGAGTCAGAAGCCCCAAAATACTTTGTTGTTGTTGTTGTTTTTCGAGACAGGGTTTCTCTGTGTAATTTTGGGGCCTGTCCTGGATCTCGCTCTGCAGACCAGGATCTGCCTGACTCTGCGTGAGCCACCACCATCCCCCGGCCTCCGCTCATATTCCTTCTGCTACCCACATTCTTTACTGGCATTTCTCCTGATATCATACCAAGCAGATAAAGAGTTCTTCCTGTAGGTGGAATTTTAGCTCACAACACATTGAAAACTGTGTTCTAGGAGCTGAAGAGAGGGCTCAGCAGTTAAGAACACATACTACTCTTGCAGAGGACCTGAGTTCAGTTCCCAACAGCCGGGGAATCCAACTTCCTCTTCTGAGCTCGGGCACCTGCACTTAGGTGTGAATAAACCCACATAAAGACACAGATATCTACAGATAATTAAAAATAAAATAAATCTTTAAAAATACGTATTATAGCCAAAGGCGGTGGTAGCACGCCTTTAATTACAGCACTTGGAGACAGAGGCAGGCGGATCTCTGTGAGTTCAAGACCAGCCTGGTCTACAGAGTGAGTTCCAGGACAGTTAGGGATATTCAGAGAAACCCTGTCTCGAAAAACCAAAAAAATCAGAACTTTTATCTGGTTCAATGGTAAAAAGCATTTATTAAAACAACAACAACAACAACTTGAGACGAGCAGTGGTGGCACACAGCTTTTTTTTTTTTTTTTTCTTTTTTCGAGACAGGGTTTCCCTGGGTAGCTTTGCACCTTTTCCTGGAACTAACTCGGTAACCGAGTGGTGGCACACAGCTTTAATCCCAGCACTTGGGAGGCAGAGCCAGGCGGATCTCTCGGATCTCTGTGAGTTCCGAGTCCAGCCTGGTCTACAGAGTGAGATCCAGGACAGGCACCAAAACTACATGGAGAAACCCTGTCTCGAAAAACAAAACAAAACAAAACAACAACAAAAAACCCAACTTGAATTCATATCCCAGATCCCATGATGGAAGGAGAGAACCAACTCCTGAAAGCTGTTCTTTTGACCTCCACACGTATTCATGCTTACAACACACACACACACACACACACATACACACACTACATGAAATTAAAAAATAAAAGTTTTGGGGGCTGGAGAGATGGCTCAGAGGTTAAGAGCACTGACTGCTTTTCCAGAAGTCTGGAATTCAACTCCCAGCAACCACATGGTGGCTCACAACCATCTATAATGAGATCTGGTGCCCTCTTCTGCTGTGCAGACAGACATACAAACAGAACACTGTATACATAAAAAAAAATAAATAAATCTAAAAAAATTTTAAAAAAAATAAATAAAAGCTTTATCTTTTCACATTTTTCAATTATGAGAACTATCACCATTTCTTCAATGTTTTTGGGGGTTTGGGTTTCACTACAAAACCCCGACTGTCCTGGAACTCACTAAGTAGGCCAGGCTGGCCTCAAACTTGGAACAATCTTCTTGCCTCTGCCTCCCAAGTGATGGGATAACAGTCATGTGGCACTGTGCCTGGCTTGTTCACAGAGAAGAAAGACCTATGATCACAGAGTAATGGTGTTATCACAGTAAGACAGTGATAAAGTGTCTACAGTCCACACAGTATAATTAAATGTACCAAAGCTGAAGCGGGAGCATCCTTTGAGTTAAGAATTGGCCAGTCTATGCAACATAGCAAGACCTTCCTTAAGATACCAAGAACACGCACGCAGATCCTGATCTTAGAGGATACAACCAAACCCAATCATCTTTTATACATTGCTGTAAGTATTAATGAAAGCTATGACTGTCTCCATGCTCAGAAAAGCAAAGCTAATCAAACTTAGCACATCACCAACAAAAGAAAAACAAAAATACAAAGTAGGAAGGGGACGGGTAAGGGAGAAATGGGTTCACTGGAAGAAAAGGCAATGGGGGGTTAAATATAGTGAAAATACATTATATGCTCATGTGAAATTATCAAAAATCATTTTTAGAATTTCAAGAATTAATTTTCAAAAGTTATGACAGAAATTCTAAATGGCCAATAGACCTGTGGCTATTCACCGGGTATCTCCCATGCAGGAGCAGACCCGAGTCTATTCACCAGGCATCTCCCATGCAGGAGCAGACAGGTGTCTATTCACCAGGCATCTCCCATGCAGGAGTAGACAGGTGTCTATTCACCAGGCATCTCCCACACTGGAGCAGACAGGTGTCTATTCACCAGGCATCTCCCATGCAGGAGCAGACAGGTGTCTATT